TTTTTAAAAGGAATCAGTATGAATTACACTTTTTTATAAAAGTATGTATATAATGTGAAAGGTTGAATAAATTGAAATGTAATATATTCATTATAATAACATTTCTTTGTATATAATATTTTTTGTCGACATCCTTTGACTTTTCTTCTTTTACTTTCTCGTTTTTGTCTTTTTATCAAGACTTTTGTTGTTTGCATTAAAAAAATTTTAAAAATGCAAGATATATATAGTTGCCATGAGATAATACATAATTAGAAATGTATATTCCAATAGTAGGCATTGTTTGTCCTTGAGAGCACAGAAGTATTGAAAATTATTATCTCTTGAATTTAAGTGGATATCATTTATCATTTGCTGGAGTTATGCATGGAAGGAAAATTTATTTTTTGGAATGTTGTTGTCCAACGGGTATTTCTAAATGAATAATATGTTTTTTGAAATCACAATAAATCATTTTTGTTCAGTTGTAAATATCGTTGGATGAGTTCAAATTTTTTAAGAGCATCACAGGACAATTTCTTTTCAATATCAACTTATATGGTAAGTTACCAATTGGCAGTAATGTATTTAGGAATTCCTCTTGGTAGAGTTGATTTATATATTTTAGATTCCACACAAAAGATAAAAAAATGAGAATCAAATATGAAATAGAATTACAAAAAAGAACATACCTTAAGGATGAAGAATTAAAATTATCAAATATTGAATTGACAATAAGCAAGCACGTCAAAAAATTACTAAATTATATCGCTTCTACAAACAACTGACATACTTTAATTCATGAAAATTAAATTTTTATCATTTCTGTTTTATTTTAAATGACAACTTCAAATACATTATAAAATTCTTACTTTAACATAACAATATCCGTTTGGATATAAACATGTCAAATTAAATTTAAAAAGTAAAGTATGTATACATGTGAATACTAAAACGCAAAAATTGATGCATAATTTATATTCATTAAATATATTCAAAATCACAAAATATAAAAATTTATACCTTATTTAATTTGTTGAAAGTAGTGACACATTAAATCTCTTGCTTTGGTTTGCTAAATTCAAGTAAACATATTCAGTTCGATCGGATTAGATTCCGTATTATTCATGACATGCCCCTCTTTTCTAATAATCCTGTGAAAGTCGAATGAAGATGATAATAGAAAAATATAAAAATAATTTATAGGAACTTAAAATCAAAAGCTAATTTTATAAACATGCTTTGCATATAGTATAATACGATGAAAGAAATTATAACTTAAACAAGTTTATTCAGTCAAATTTAAGATGATCAGTATTTAATAATATTAATATTTTAATAATATTTATATATAATATAAGTTTAATAAATATCAATGATACTTACAATTTTTAGTATATCCTATAACAATATATTGACATGATGACATTAAAATTTAAAATATATATATTTCCAGTATGATAATATGATTAATGTTCTATTATTATAATTGACACAAAAAAAATTTTGAAACGCCTACAAAATTTTAAAATATCAAAATATTTAGACAAGAATTGTTAGATGGGACATAAAACTTTAACTATTTGATTATGCTATTAAATTATTTATATAATTAATTTTTAACTATAATTTTGTATCAAAACCAAAATTCGAAAAACTAATTGGCAGGATATGCATTCAAGAGTCTTCTTAATGATTAGTAGTCATAATTTAGTTAAAATTAGAATTTTCCTATGAATTAAAGGTAACAATTCGAAGTGAATATAAATTACTAAAATGGATACAATTAATAAAATTAATAACTCAAAAATCATTAAATATGCTATGGAAATGTTTATTGAATCAAACTTGTAAGGGTTAAAAATTTTGAGAATATGACCACTCGAAATTTGAGAGAACCTAATTTTAGATTTTGATGATTTTTTCTCTCATCCAATGTTTAAGTGAAAAAAAAATTCAAATTCCAATAAGCACCAAACTTTTTTTCAAACTAACAACTCATACATAAATTCCTTGTAAGTGAAAATGTGGCATTACAATTTCCGTTTCTTTAAAACTATCATTCGCACACTGTACAATTGTAACAATAAAGAGAAAAATATGATCATTAATCAATGAATATCATAAAGACAGCATATGCGAAATTCAAGTTGAGCAAAAAGAGAATTTTTAACTGGATGCAAGTAAATTTCGGTTAAAAAATAGAGCGTTTATAGAAAATAAATTCAAAATTAACTACCTAATATAATAAAATTTTGCATAATTCACACTACTGAAAAATTTATCATAAACAACAAATATAAAAAAAATTATATGATTAGTTGTTGTACCCTATAAAAAGATTGGCCACCATTCTAATCAAAAGATACCACATTTGGATTTCCTATCATCATAATATAATATAATTTCGATTAATAAATTGATTGTTAGTTATTAACGTACCATGCATTAATAATTACTTGGAGAAAGTAAAATATGAAAGAAAATAATTTATAAACTCAATATGGTGATGGATTACACGTGACAAATTCATAATTGAGACTTGATGAGTAAGGGAGTTCTCATATAATTTTTCCCATTTATTTCCTTCATTTGGTCTAAAACTCTTTGAAAAATATCAATTTAAAGCAAAGTATTTACATTATGGACAATAAAATGTTCTATACTTATGTATATGATTAATAAAAGATTTAAAGATATTAATTATGGATTTAATTTATTATTTTCAATAGATTTTTTTAGAAATGCGATACTAACTTTAATGTGTATTTTTAGGTTTGAAAAAATTTAATTGTGTAAAGTAATTTTTATTTATAAATTCTATATATAGATATTAATTAACTTAATAAAATATGTCATTTCGAGCTAATTATAAAATAATATTACTGTAATTTCTTTTAATGGTATATAATAATGTTTTTATTAATTGTGTATTAATAATTTGTACTAATTATATTTAGAGAAAATTAATTGACTTGATTTTGATTTTTGAAAGTAACAATAATTATTAATTATCTTATTTAGAATAAATAAACTAAATACTAAGGGTATTGTTCACCACAAATAAAAAAAAATGTAAAAGTAAAATGCGAAAACGAATGTTTATCATCTATTCACACTTACGTTATTGAAAAATGACTTTTGGTCTCATAGTTTATCAAACTAATATAAATTAATGATGATTAAAGAGTTGATGGGTTATTAGAAACTGACTTTTCATCTACTACTTATCAAGTGAATGCTAATTTACAGGGATTTGTGTTAGCCATTATAATTTATTTTCAGTGGAATCTTTTAGGAATGCAATATTCTTTTAATATGTAATATTAGATTTTAAAAAATTAATTATATATATAATTTTATTATTTTTATAAGTTCTATATATTAATATTAATGGACTTAGCAGTCTATGCCATTTTATGTTAATTATATATGTAGTATTGTTATAATTTTTATGTTTTTTTTATATAAATTTTTATTAATCATAAACTGATAATTTATAATAATAGTGTTTAGTGGAAATTAAAAATAATTTTATAGGTATTGTTAACCATAAAAATAAAAATGTGGGGCAAAATGGAAAATTGAAGATATAAGGATAAATGAGGGTATATTGGACCTATAGCTAAATATGTAAGGGTAAAATTGGTGATCAAAAGTTTCTCCTCGATCCTTACTTTTGATATATTGTAGATGTAGATAACGTGCATGGAAATTACGAAGAGTAAGAAGAAATATGGATTGCCTCTTGTTTCCTTTTTGCTAATTACCTTTTCACGTTTGAGAGTTTATACGCAGATTGCAGAGTGAGATAGAGGGGGAAGAAATTGGGAGTGAGAGTGAGAACGGTGGCAGGAGAGTGAGAGAGGGGAAAGAAATTAGGGCTGGTTTGAGTTTATACCAAACTAACAGGGTCGGGTCCGGGTCGGTTTGGGTTCGTATGATTTTATATTTCAAGTTGAATTTAGTCAATTTACTCGAAGAAATTAATGATAACGTTCAAAAAACGTTGCCAAAGATACTTAACCGCAAGGTTCAATGAACATTGTTAAAACAAACCAACAGCAACGTTCAAAACCGCAAGGTTCAATGAACGTTGTTAAAACAAACCAACGGCAACGTTCTTTGAACGTTGCTAAAACAAACCAACAACAACGTTCAATGAGCGTTGCTAAAACATATATAGCAACGTGCATTGTCCGTTGCAAAAATTTGAACATAGCTAAAACAAACCAACGACAACGTTTAATGAGCGTTGCTAAAATATATATAGCAACGTACATTACCCGTTGCAAAAACTTGTTAACTGCAACGCTCAATGAACGTTGCTAAAACTGATTAACAGCAATGTTCAATGAACGCTGCCGTTAACCAATTTTTGCAACAAGCAATGCACGTTGCCAAAAGTAATTAACGTCAATGTTTTTTAAATGTTGCTAAAACATCTATAGCAACGGTCAATGCACGTTGCCAAAAAAAAAAAAAAAAAAAAAAAAAA